TTTTTTTTTGGAGTGAGTGGGGGGAAACTACGCGGGAGTCACAAAAATGAGTTATAATAATTACACTACTATGGGCCAAGATACAGTTTCGAATTGTTGCAGTTCGGGGACAATGTATACAACCCAGCTTTCTGGCCAGGGGAGGGTGCCTGGAGTGCAAAAATTGCAAACTGTATCTTGCCCCATATAATGCAATTATAACTCGTTTTTGTGACTGTACTGAAGTTACCCTTTTTTTTTTTCTTTTTTTTTTTTTTGCGCTGAGACTTAACACGTACGGAATTTTTTAACGTAATTTCTTCTAATACTTGAAGGGCGAGGTCCCACTAACCACTAACGAAGAGGATTGGATTTTGTGCCTGAATGTGGACGTACTTATTGGAGAGGTGCAGAAAATCGGGTTCGATCTGCTTTCCCCGCATCTAAAGGTCAAACACATCCAGATTCAGCAGGCTCTCTTCATCTAATCCTCTTGGCTAGATCGACCTCGCCCCGTTTTGTTTCGAAGTTCCCCGGCCTCTTTTTCTCAATTTAATTTTATGATATTTCACATTATTGTTTTGCAAACACATTAAAAAAAAAAACCGTAATTTCTTTCATTGTCGAACCTTGCATGGACGGCAGCTATGGCCATGATTCCCCGTCGCTATCCTCCTCCTTCGTTCTTCCTTCTTCCTCCTTCCTCCTCCTTCTTCCTTCTTCCTTCCTCCTCCCTTCTTCTTCCTTCTTCCTTCTTCTTCCTTCTTCCTTCTTCCTTCTTCCTTCTTCCCCCTTCTTCCTTCTTCTTCCTTCTTCCTTCTTCTTCTCCCTTCTTCTTCTTCCTCTTCTTCCTTCTTCTTCTTCCTTCTTCTTTCGTCCTTCTTCCTCCTCCTTCCTCCTTCTTCCTTCTCCTCCTCCTCTTTCTCCTCCTCCTCCTCCTCCTCCTTTCTCTTCCTTCTTCTTCCTTCTTCTTCTTCCTTCTCCTTCTTCCTTCTTCTTCCTTCTTCTTCTTCCTTCTCCTTCTTCCTTCTTCTTCTTCCTTCTCCTTCTTCCTTCTTCTTCTTCCTTCTTCTTCCTTCCTTCTTCTTCCTTCTTCGACCAATGGCGGTTCGAGTCTGCCATTGGTCGGATCGCGAACCTCTGCTTGGGCACCTCTTGACAGTGCACCACCTTGAGGAGTTCAAGCTGGCGGTGTTTTCTCTTCTCTGCTTCAAAATGTACAATCTGTTCTTTTTTTTTTGGGGGGGGGGGGGGGGGGGGGGGGGGGGTTGGCGAGGGGCGTGAAGAAAGTAGTTGCACATCTTCTGTCTCTCTTCTGTGTTTTCTCTACGACATGACATCATCATCATCATCGCCGCAACGGTGGCAATCAATCAATCAATCAATCAATCAATCAATCAATCCACCATGGATGGTCATGGATGGTCACTCGCTCCCCTTTTATTTGCGTTTTTTGTTGTACTTGTATTTGTATTTGCTTTGGATCAGCCTAAAACCGTTTTTGTTCCATCACTGTTTTTGAAGCTCAGAGAGAGAGAGACACACACAGAGAGAGAGCGAGAGAGAGAGAGGCACAGAGAGAGAGAGCGAGAGCGAGAGAGAGAG